ATCGCTAACACGTGATCTCTTTCAGACAACCCTAGAAAAAAAAGGAGGCTGATAACAAATACTTTGACTTTAAATGAAATAGTTCAACATACACAACAATACTCAAAATTATGAGAGCGTAATTAAAAACGTTTAATTAGCAAATTAATACAATTTTACATTATAATCTAGTTTTACCAAAACCACAACAAGAAGCCAATAAATAAGAAATCAAATATACGCTACATTCAGCCGTGTAAAAAAAATATAGATCACCCACAATATGTATAAAATAAAAATATTTATTTGGAAAATAATACGATGTTAAACGATATGCAATCACGTGTCTGAGTCAAATTCTTTAATAGAAACATTTTAGTTTCTATGTAGAAAGGTGTTCTATAAAACATCAATAAAATTTCTTTATAAACATCGTCCCTCATAAAAACTCCAAAGCCAGCGCTAGATACGTAGCCATAATCCTTTCGCGGTGTCTTTTGTAACTCGTTACAGTTCCAGTTTAGTAATTAAGCCTACAACTTTATCGATCAAAGCCATTTCCAGTACTTGAAAGACCACCAGGCTGAGTATTTGCTGGATCGTGTGTCGTGTGTAAATATTAGCTACACATCGATCCAGTAATGGAACTGTCAAGCGATCGCTTCTTGTCTATAATCCTGCGCATGAGTTTATTACGAGTTCACTGCCCATATGCAGATTGGATCTGTGTGCGTCGGGCAATACTAAAATTTATTGCTAATTTACAATGTCACTTTATTTATTTATTAAAGTTCACTAAATATATAATGCATTTTCTACAGTATGTAACAAGCTATATATTCTAAAATACATGACAATTATTGTGTACATAGATTTTACTAACAATAAGAATTAGTGTAATCACTTCTAATTGTAGTTTTTACTAGTAATTTTTGTTTTACAATGCGGATTAGGTATATGGGCGCTTAAAACTGTTATTTTTTTTATTTATCAGAGTACTATGGATAAGTAGTGTTGTTCTGTTATATTTGCAAAGATTATTTACGTTTATTTATGTTAAAATGTTGTAATATAAATCGATTTCAGATAAGGTTGCATTGGTTAGAATTTATTATGATGTAACTAACCACCTAGCTATTCCCGATAATGAATGTGCTATAAGTTTATTAATTAATTTAAATTAAACTAATAATATAAGATTTCTCTGTCGTTTCTATAATACTGTAAGCAACAGGTAATTAGATACTGAAAACTGAAAACGCCTATTCTTTGTGTTGGTTTTGAATATCACTACAAAGGTTGTAATTATCGTTCGGTTATAGGTTGGTCTTTTATATCCCATTGTACGTCTAAGATGTCTCTATTTTGCGATTTTCTAAGGTGTGGGCTAAATGTTATTTGACGATACTATTGTGAGCACTCCCGTGGCGCTTTTATTCCATTCATTGTCCTGACATATCACTCCCACAATTTTGTTACATTTTGTGAATTCACTTGCAGGAAGACGCTAAAATGATGGATGGTATTGAATATGGAACATGTGAGAATTTATACGGCTCTAGGGAGACATTATTTTGTATTAATATGAATTGTATCTGGCATGAGAATTTTTATGTTACAGTAGGCAAATGGGCAGGAGGCTCACCTGATGTTAAATCATAATGATTCCGCCGCCTATGGCCACTCAAACTGCCAGAAGGCTTGCAAGCGTGTTGTCGGCCTTTTAAGATTTAGAAGACAGATCCCACATATCTACGCAACGTCAAGAGATCGAGCCGCTCTGAAAGTGACTGGTAGAGGTTAAACTAAAATCTACTATATTTAAAATACTTATTTTTATGATTTATTTTCAACTTATTTGACGTTTACGTTATAAACAGTATTAACGGTCACAGTTTACAGTTCTTTAGTTTAGTCTTTAGATATCCTATAGTTTTATGTATGTATTTTACGAGTTAACCATATGTTTAATAATTTACAATACTAATCATGGTTTTCCCGACACCAATTCTAAAATCGGCATACCACCGGCTCAAATTGACAAGGTGTGGCACACTGCTCTTACTTTTTAATAAAGACATGACAGATGCAAAAATGTGCCTAGGTACTCTGTATTTCAATAAAGCGATTGCAATCAATCAATGTTGAGTTTTTGGCCCGTGCGATTCCAAAATTACGACATCAGTGTTACGAATATTGTGACAACTATATCGCAATTGTATATAAAGACATCGCTAATAAATATTGGTAGTTACAGAGTACTAACGCTGCGAATTAGCCTCCTAAAGGGTTTTAGCATCACTGGACTACCTTTTTAAATAATTGTAAATAAATAGTTCTAAACCGAAATTGGTAACTTGGATTAGTGATTTAAAATTTGCACAATTTATCAACGTGACATTAATAATATTAGGATTAGGATGTTAAACGCGAACATAACATATTAATGATGGCGAAAGCTATTACCAAACGACAGTTATGTGGTAGCAGGTGTACGCTTGTGTTTTGCCTTAATTTAGTCGGAATTAATTTAGGTTTTTAGATTACGAACATTCATAGAATTAAAAGGAAGATTTAACGTTATTCATAAATGATATGTTTTCAACTGTTTTTTATGAATATGTGTGTGTGAAGGGTCGTTAAAAGTAAACTCGTCAGTAGCCGTCGAACTAAGATTTAATATATTCTAATACCCATGATATCATACTAGTATAAACACAAAACGATTGCTTGGACACGTTTGAAACCTCATTAGTCCTACAAAATAAAATAAAATATTTTCGCACTCTGCTATATATACATACTTGTACGTACTTTGCCATAACACTGTTTTAATATGTTCTTTATGTGCCAAGCTTTTCTAGCACCATATGGGTCTTGCCTTGGATTGATATCATAATGGATGGAAGAATATTTATATTTTATTACACTACGCAGGTCGAAGATAAAATTGTGGAGTAATTTTATCTTCGACCTACAAAAATTTAATATATACAGTATTAATTATTATGTATAAATAGCAACATCTATTGATCTCAAAACTTAACCTTGTTTGTTTTTAATATTGTTTTGTTTTATATTGATTTTTAGAAATTTCAAATGTAAAATGTTTATTTTTTTTAGAAATATTCACTATGTATGTAAACCTCTTCTCTTTTCCCTAAAGATTTATCTTAAAAATCAATTCGGCACACGCACTATTAAAAACTATTAAAGGTTTGTAAATTCAATGTCAGGTAGACCGAAGAGAATCAATGGGACAAAATTAAATATGAATTGCTTCTTGAGGGCGACACGAAGTCTATTAAAATGAGTTTAGCGCCTCCGTCAATGGAATGATTGAAGGCTTCTAAACAATTCATTCTTCTGTCTCAATGGCAAGGCCCATAGTCCTATTGTCACGGGGGATATGACAATAGTAGGCCCTTACCATTGAAGTGCGATACTCTTAGTTCTAAATTAATGTAACCGCTTCAAATTCACTGAAGTCTCTGCCGCCCATCGCGTCTGAAATAATCTAAACCTTATTCACGAAATTATAATGTAAACCTTATTCACTTAGGTATAAAGTTAAATTTTCAAATATTTACTAAAATTTGCTATGGTTCTTGTTCAAAGTAAAAATACAATAAAAATACTTTGTCTAATTCTAAGTTGACCGTAATAAATAAGGCTGTGTTGTGCAAGGTTTCACTTGTTTTACTAAAAGAAAACGGTTTCGGAATAGAAAAAAGTCCTGGTCAGGTGCAGTCAGCTGTTCTTTAACAGCTGATTTTAATGTGTACTTTATGAAGCTTCATGTAATTTTTCAAAATATGTAAATGAAATGCATGATAATTATTTTGGGTAGATAGAAACATACGACGGTGTTTGGCGTATTCCTTGACGCCAATATTGTCCACTTCATGAAATACAAAGTGGTTGAGACATGTGCACCGAATGGCGGACGACAGACCCCAAGGTCTCACAACCCGGTAGACCGAGGCTGCGTTGGTGGGATGGAGCTGTCAAGGACCACGAAACAATAGGTATTCGAATTTGGAGGCAAGGCGCACGTGATAGAAAATATACGGAGGCAGAAAATTTAAATAAATGTAATATAAAATAATATTTTATACTTTAAACAGCCATTTAATAACTCATATGATCAGAATGCTCAGTTGGTAGTATCTTAGATATACCTGTGTGATAAAGTCAATCAACGAATGGTTTTAATTCAACATATTTTTATTTTTATCTTTATACAATTTTCTAAAATTTGATCGAAAAGCCTAACACTAACGTTTTGCTTAATCAATTGTGGCGTTTAATATAGAGTATTTCCTCAATATATGTATATATATATATTAGAACAAGGATCATCGCTCCTTTAAACTTTACCCTCTAAATAGATTATTTAGTAAACTGAGATTTTAAATGCTACGGGCACAAAATGAAATTCTCTAGTGGTTAGCACTGAGAGGAAAAGAAAAAGAACATTAATAACTTAGTAAACCGATAGCGAATAAAAGCGGAAAGCGATAAGGCCGCCAGTTGCCTTTCCTTTACATGTAATTATGTAAAAAAAATATGTTATGAAGCAACAAAGTGAATAAATAAACATGACCGTTATACATATAAACTTGATTTTTGAGTTACGGTAATAATTAAAAGTTCCAATCATAGAATGTGATAAAGAAAAATTGATTGCACACAAACTTATTTTCTTTCAATTTAACGTGTTCGAAGATATAATACTTTCCTACGTTATTAACAATAATAATTATTCAAATCACACAATATTTTTTCCTTTGAAATCTCAAGTACTGGTCACTGTCATAAATGGGCACGCGCACATTTCTGAACATATCGAACCATTTTTTGTTACGATCCCAGGTAAATTTATAAGAAAAAAGGTATAGGGGTGGGAATCTATTCATTTTTTTCGAACATTGCACCCTTATATAACTGCGCTCTCTCCAAGGGATTTCATTCACAACGTTGCTTCAAACGAATAACCTTACCTCACTAACAATTCTAATATGTCTTACGTGTCTTATAAGAACGATTTCCCCAAATACGTTCCGATCGCGCCTTCAGAAGACCTAGACGCAATGGAAGATCGAGTTCCAAGGAAATATAACTATAAAAATAACCCGTACACCGGTCCCCAAGCGGTTTCTATCGCTAGAAGAAACGCTCGCGAACGCAATAGAGTGAAACAAGTGAACGACGGATTCAACGCTTTGAGAAAGAGATTGCCCGCTGCTGTCATCAACGCCCTAGCTGGTGGCGCTCGGCGTGGAACCGGCAAGAAGCTTAGCAAAGTTGACACTTTACGTATGGTAGTGGAATACATCAGGTACCTAGAAACCCTAATTGAAGATAGCGATGCTTCGCTCGGGATTGCGAATACGCCGATGGACGCCGCCATCTCGAGTGATGTTGATGAAGGTTTCGCTGGAAGAACCTCGCCCTATTCAGACTCCATCCCTTCACCAGTGAATTCGGAGTGTTCATCAGGTGTTTCGTCGGCGTATTCAATTAATAATGAATACTACGCTCCACCAATGACATATCAAAATGAATATGTTATGAATGACAGTGGGGTGATCGATGAAATATGGTGGCAAGCGAAGTGAAGATAAACTAATATATATTGTTATCTAGTCATATTTATATTGTATAAAAGAGTAATATATTATGTAAACAAATGTATAAAAACTTCTGTAAATATAATTGATGGTGAATGAACTGAATTAAATAAATGTTATAAAATTTATTTGCACACTTTTATTTAATAAGAAATTAACTTTATTTTACATAATAAAAAATAATGTTTAGTTTAAACAGATCGTTCCTGTGTCGTGGGCTTCTAGTTTCTCCCGGTTGACATATTAACGGTACTTGATATGATAATTTCTACTTAACACTTACAATTTTACTAAACTACTGTTGTATAATAAGAATACTTTCCGTTTCAGCATAGGACAGGTTGAGATATTGTTTATGATTATTAGTGGATGTATAAAGTTTTGAATTATGTCTTTAAAGTACAGACTACATATACCATTAAAATAAATGATAACCTGAGATTCCAAATCTTAATTAAAAGGAAACAAAGCGAATCTGTTATTGATCTTTAATCTTAATCTACGGACCTTTAATTTAAATTTCGATTCAATCTACGAAACTGTGTCCTATACGCCAATCGAATTATCGGTTTATATGCAAACGTAATCACGTGGCGGTTGATTAAGACGTGGTCACACCGCGGATGCATTGTTATACAAGATTAATGGTGTCGACTGAGATAAGAGGTGGGAGCTAAATGCATTTACATGTGCGAATAAAAGGTTCAGATAAGCGACAAAGGAGTTCGCATCGAGTGAGAACGGTCAGTGATAACGATGGGCTTGATTACTACGAAATACGAGCGCCAAGATCTTATGAAAGCGATGTAGTAATAATAGAAATAAACAAAGAAATTGCTCAATGTTAGAGTAAAAATGTTATCTTATAAAAGCTGTGCCTAATAATGTTGTTAATTAACGGACGCTGTGTCACAGTTATAAGTAAATGAATCAGTGGCGCTACAACCTCTTTAGGTCTTGGCCTCAGATTTCTGAATCTGTTTCATGATCATTTTTTAAATTTAATAGGCAAGCAGGAGATCAGCCTCCAGTGCCTGACACACGCCGTCGACTTTTTTTTTGGGTCTAAGACATGTCGGTTTCCTCACGATGTTTTCTTTCACCGTTCAAGCAAATGTTAAATGCGCACATAGAAAGAAAGTCGTGCACAGCCAGGGATCGATCCTACGACCTAAGGTATAAGAGTCGCACGCAGCCACTAGGCCAACACTGCTCTGCTGCTAAAAATAATACTTAATCTTAATTACGGGCTGCGGGAGAAATTTTTTAATCACGTACATATTAAATAGCTTGCGCTTAAGTGTGCGACTTAAGTGTCCAAAAGTCGTAGGTTCGATCCACGACTGTGCACCAATGGACTTTCTGTCTGCACATATGTACATCACTCGCTGGAACGGTTAAAGAAAATATGATGAGGAAACCGGTATACCTTAGAACAAAAAGTCGATGGCGTGTGTTAGGCACAGAAGACTGATTACTGAAGTAGCCTAACTTAGAAAACACAAAACATACAGAAATCTGAGGCCCAGACTTAAAGGTATAAACCACTGGTTTTAGTAGGTTTGAAATGTATGTTTCAGTATTTTGGCTTCCACACATTGCTTTTGTGTAACGTTACCTCGCGTCTCCATTTTATAACTTTGTGAACGTGCTGCATTACCTAAGTATTTAATCTTTTTTTCTAGCATTCTAGGTTCTAGTATTTTTAGTTAAGTTAGTATAAGTGTTAGTAACTAGTTCGGATAAAATTGTATCGATAAAGTATGTAGTACTATAAGTTTCTCTTCTAATACTTAATCCTAAGAAAAATGTAGATTATTGTAATAGTAATAAATAAAAATGCCTTAAAATTTTGTATTTAATATTACTGCATATGAATATTGGCAAAGCTGCACATTTTTAATAGACTAAAAATGAGACACCGTGTACTTGACACTTGGTTTTCGATTCAAGTTTTCGGCTTATCGAAAGCTCTAGGCATAATTTTGGCCTACTAGATTTTGATTATTTTGACAGCACACATTAGGAATTAGCGTGATGTGACAACATAGCTTCAAGCGCCTAATTATTGCGTATTATCAAGATTTTTTTTACTATCTCGTATGGTAATTTTATATAGTTTAGCCACAACCTTAGAATATATCGAATAGGTTGCGAAACGAAAATACCATGTTCCTTATTCACAATAAATAAATCAGTCTCATTGCACTGTTTTTAATACTAATTTGTCTCTTTTCATCACAGCGTAAACACAATTTGAGAGAAAGAAACAAAAGTGTAATTACGTTAGATGAGTTAAATTAGCTGTGTTTTTGTGGATTATTATCGTATAACTGGATTTAATCATCTAAAGAAAACCATTAAGTACATAGACTATTGTTATGTTCTTATATCCTATTTTAGACGCCCTTAATTGGATCCCTCAGGAAAAAGAATACGTGACCGCTCTAAACAATCTTGGTGAGACTCAGTTGTGGGTGAAGCACAAGCCATTGGCCTGAAGATAAGAAAGAACTCGATGGGGAAGCAATGTGGTCACTATCTGCCCCAAAACAGACATTAAAATCTAATTTTATTCTAAAACATAAATTCGTCATACAATATTAATTATTAATCTCATTGGCATTGCTTATAAAATGTATCGAAATATTTTAAAATATAATTAATTTGAGTGTACGACCAACCAGGCTCCAGAACATAAGCCACTCCTTATATAGAAATTGTATTCGTTTTTACAACAAACTTCCAAAGGAAATTTGAGAAATATCACTAAATAAATTCTAAGCCCTCGTTAAACGTAAACTAATCAAAAAAGCTTTTTGTAAATTTGACGAATACTTTAATTATCCTAATTCTTGGGATTGATTTGCTCCAGTTCATACAATTTGTATGAATCAATACTTGGCGATTAAAAAGAGTGGCGGAAAGTTTCTTGCCAGTTCTTCATACCCGCTCTACGCCCTTGACTTGCGAACTGTTAGTAAATGTAAAGTTACAATTAATTTAACTTCTTTTTGACGTTAATAAGTGTACTTGTTTACCTATGTGAATAAAGCTATTTTAAAAACTAGAAAAAAACCTTATCTAAAAGTATCACTTTTGATTTCTCTAAAATCGTGATCATCTACGTAAGCCTGAGATTACATTGGTTCAATCAAATAACACTTATTTCCTCCTTCGAGCTTCCTGTTTGCTAACAAAAACGTGTAGTTTGCCAAATTCCGGAAACTAAAAATGAAACGAATTTGATTTGCTTTGTGGCGTAATCTTATTGTGGCGCACGTGAGCTTTGTTCCGTTCGTGATTTTCTGCAAAATTTAACGATAAAGTTTTATAGCGATGTTTCAATACCATTCATAATTGTTTAAATTAATACAAAGTAGTACGTTACTAAAATTTATACGCTATACTTAAATTCCTTGCTATGTGTTGTCATACATGATACTTTTTGATTGCAAATTAGTCCTAATGCTGATAAATTATCGATGATTAATAATTGTAATGATAAAAAGTTGTTGTAGATATATTAAGTATATTAAAGAATGAAAACGCTGTGTAGGACTCCTTTTTGAACATAGTACCTACTAATGTATTATTTTATTTTATTATTTGAAATTAATGTTATATATAATAAAATAAGATTTCATACATGCATCATGACAAAGACAGGTTCATTATTTCTAATATTGTCTATGATGTTGAAGACATAAGGTTATTGATACAAATTAGTTTTCATTCAAGGCAATACTCGCTACAGATTATCACGAACACGTGAAATGTTCCCAAAAACATTCTCGAAAAGTTAACTAATATCGTTCGGCTTTCTCTATTGTTTATATCTGTTACCTGGCCTTTTTTAATTCTATTAACTGCCTTAACGCATTCAATAGGTTTGTTCATTTGTAAAATTTTAATTAATTTCTTACTTTCACTTAGAATCGTGTTTTGTTAGATGGGAGCGATAATGGAACGATTTAAATTAATGTTTAAAATCATATTTTTAATTAATAATTTCATAAATTTTATATTAGATTTGGGCTATAGTAACTTGTCATTTTGATAGAATGCTCTAGAAAACCAGTTCAACAAAAGTGATATAAAATATTTCAATAAAGTATTCAATGATACAATTTATATATACTTAACTGTGATACGAATAAATCTTTGTTCAATACGAATAAAAATAAAGCAGCGGCGCTCGCGTTGAACTCTTTTGTATGAGAAATCGCACAGTTCGCTGTATATTGCTTGTAGTTGCCTGTTCTAGTTAGTGCAAACAATTGATGCAACTTTATTGAAGCAGGCCTGCTAACATAAATAATTGTCGGATATCGGCTTCCTTCGCCGGCAGCTCTGAGATGCGGGTGAGATCTTACAACATAGTACAAAGGTTTTACATTATATCAAATGTCCTAGAGTATGAGAACATAAAATGTTTTAATTCTAATAATTTAATCGTGCACGATCGAGGTTATTTTTTCTTAAAATGCTGAAATGAATTTTGGTTTGTTTAAATTATTATTGTTTCTTGCAATTCAAGTAGATTTGATGTTTCTCTCTCTAGAAACTAAATGTAGTTAGAAATATATTAAAAAACCCATTTTCTTACTCGATTTTGTAAGTTGGTGAAAAAAATATAAGCAATTTGCTTCTTAAACATAGTTATACGAATCTATTGAATGAATTGTTTCTAAGAATATTAGCAGCTGCCATGAACAAATACTTCCAATTATAATTTTTGATTACAACTAAAAGATTCACTTGACCGCAAATTCATAAAGTATCGTCTTACGATAGCCATTAAATATTGATATCTGATACAAATTTCGGAAGCTAGTTATAATATTTTAAGCAAAATGTTCTTGCAAAAAAATCGGATAGCGCTTTTTGATGCAATTCGAGAACGATTTCCGCACGAACAACATCAAATACTTAACACTTATCTCAGTTTGCAACATTTTTTTCTATTTCCTTTAAAGCTTTTTATG